TGTCGCTAGATAGGTTTTTAGTGAGAAAAACAAGCAGTGAGTCACAAGCAGGTCCTAGTGGTTTGCAGGCAAAACATGCCAGTGTACCTCGGAGAAATCATCATTGCCTGATATTATAATGGAAGGTGACTCCCCTTCCCTTTCCCCCTCCTCACCGTCTCCATACGCCAACAAGAGTCATCAGTACAGGTATAGGTAAGTACTAATAACTTGTACATACTTTAGTACTTAAGACTTGGGTGAATTAGGTATAAAATTTACTTTGAAGTTGAGTTTTTGGGGAGCCTGGAGCGGAGTAATTCAATTTACATTATTTCTTATGGGGAAATTCACTTCAGTTTACGAATATTCGGCTTACGAGCCATCTCTGGGAATGGATTATATTCGTAAGCTGAGGTACCACTGCAGTTCCAAAAACAGTATTTTTTCTTTCGGTATTGTTAATTAGCACCCAGGAAGCACGAAAACTCAAGTAAAAAGTCTACCTCTTGTAGTTTAGCTGTAGTGGCCTTGAGAAGTTTTTTTTTTTTTTAAATGAGTTGCCACATGGGAATAAATTTGTCAATTTATTTCCATTGTTTTTCACTTAATTTATTTAGTTTTTTGCTCTAGCAAGTTGTACATGTGTGTCAAAAGTGGTGTTCATTTTGTATAACTTTGAAAATATACATGTACAGTATATATAGATATGTGTATAAATATATGCACATCATGTATTTAGTCATACTAATTATATATATATATATTATATATATTTATTATAAAGCCTAAATCTTATAATTGGACATAGCGCACATCATTTTGCCTGAAATATATAATGGTAATCACTCACTCGCTGCTGTTAAAATTTCAGTGGCTCATAGCATGGCTGTCGTACACGTTCATAATGCCTCGACCTTAGGAATGTTTCGTAGGCCTTAGTAACCTAGGCCGCGTTACTAAGCCCATGAAAGGAAAGTGAGGGACTCAGGATGTTTTTTCAAAATGGGGGATGGTTACTGGAGGCTTCATGAAGCTAATGTGTACCCCCCCTAGAATTCATGGGGGTTTCGAATCTTACGATATACTAAAAATCTCATGTTGGCTGGTGCACCAGCACATGTCTGGTGGTGCAGTGCAAGGGTTAACATCATAATAACCTTACAGTCTCCGTTGTGTAGTGGTAAGACACTCGCCTGGCGTTCCGCGAGCGATATGTCATGGGTTCGTATCCTGGCCGGGGAGGATTTACTGGGCGCAATTCCTTAACTGTAGCCTCTGTTTAACACAACAGTAAAATGTGTACTTGGATGAAAAAACGATTCTTCGTGGCAGGGGATCATATTCCATGGACCTGCCCGAAACGCTACGCGTACTAGTGGCTGTACAAGAATGTAACAACTCTTGTATATATCTCAATAATCCAGCACAGTACCACGTTACCTGCTGCAAGTCGTGTTATGGACCAACCTACCCTGGGAACCAGATAAACTGGGAGCAAATAAACCAGGACTTTACAGAAATAAACTGGGAAGAACAGCTAGAAAATGCAAACCTGAACCAGTACCTGGAAAAAATAAGCTCAGTAGCATTAGAAATATGTTCAAACCGCATACCCCTAAGAAAAAAGGGAAAGAGATGCAGATTGGAACGGGAACGTCGTTCCCTATACAGGCGAAGAAAACGAATCACGGAACAACTTGAGAGTTGCACTCTATCTTAAGAACGGCGAAGAAGGTTAGGTAGAGAAATAGAAACAATTAAACTCAAGCTACAAGAATCATACAAAACCCAGGAGAGGCAAAGAGAGCAAAAGGCCATCAGTGAAATAGAGAAAAATCCGAAATATTTTTTCTCCTATGCAAAATCAAGATCAAAAACTACATCTAGTATCGGGCCCCTGCGAAAGGGAGATGGAACTTTCACCAATGACAACAAAGAAATGAGCGAGCTACTGAGTAAGCAGTACGACTCTGTTTTCAGCGAGCCATTAAATGCACTAAAGATTGATAACCCAAATGAATTTTTCATGGATATGATACCAACATCAAATCATATATCAGACGTCACCCTATCCCACTGAACTTTGAAGAAGCCATAAACAGTATGCCTATGCACTCTGCACCAGGCCCGGATTCTTGGAACTCCATATTCATCAAGAACTGTTAAAAATCACTATCACAAGCCCTTCACATTCTGTGGAGACAAAGCCTAGATACTGGCGTTATTCCTGATATACTAAAAACAGCAGAGATAGCACCACTCCATAAAGGAGGAAATAAGGCAGAGGCAAAAAAATTACAGACCGATAGCACTAACATCACACATCATAAAATTTTTTGAGCGAGTGCTAAGAAGTAAGATCACAAAATACATGGAATCACAGCATCTCCATAACCCCGGACAACATGGTTTCAGAACAGGGCGCTCTTGCTTGTCTCAGTTGCTGGACCACTATGATGTGGCATTAGATGCTATGGAAGAAACAAAATGCTGATGTAATTTACAGATTTCGCAAATGCTTTTGATAAATGTGACCATGGTGTTATTGCCCATAAAATGCGTTCAAAAGGAATTACCAGAAAAATAGGCAGATGGATCTACAATTTCCTGACTAACAGAACCCAATGTGTAATAGTCAACAAAATAAAATCCAGCCCATCAACCATGAAGAGCTCAGTCCCCCAGGGTATTGTGCTTGCTCCAGTACTTTTTCTCATCCTCATATCGGACATAGACAAGAACACAACCTATAGCACTGTATCCTCCTTTGCACCTGACACTAGGATTTTCATGAGAGTAGGCAACATAGAGGACATGGCAAACCTCCAATCAGATGTACATCAGGTCTTTCTATGGGCTACAGAAAATAATATGGTGTTTAACGAAGATAAGTTCCAGCGCAAGCGCTACAGAAAAAATGAAAATATAAAAACGGAAACCACATACAAAACTCAGGCAAATCATAACATAGAACGAAAAGGCAATGTAAAGGATCTGGGTGTACTCATGTCGGAAGACCTTACCTTTAAAGAACACAATAAAGTAGTCGTCACAACTGCAAGAAAAATGATAGGTTGGATAAAAACTTTTCACACTAGAGATGCTATACCGATGATGATACTTTTCAAAACGCTTGTGCTCTCTAGAGTGGAATACTGCTGCACAATGACAGCCTCTTTCAAAGCTGGAGAAATTGCTGACCTGGAGAGCATGCAGAGATCCTTTACTGCTAGAATCAACTCGGTAAAACATCTAAATTACTGGGACCTACTAAAGAGCCTAAATCTGTACTCCCTTGAGCGCAGGCGGGAGAGATACATAATAATTTACACGTGGAAAATAATTGAGGGGCTAGTCCCAAACCTGCACACAGAAATAACATCACATGAGACCAGAAGACATGGCAGGATGTGCAGAATACCCCCGTTGAAAAGCAGAGGTGCAACAGGTACTGAGAGAACTATCAACATCAGAGGCCCGAGACTGTTCAACACGCTTCCACTACACATAAGGGGCATAACTGGCAAACCCCTCACAGTGTTCAAGAGAGAACTGGATAAGCACCTCCAAAGGATACCTGATCAACCAGGCTGTGACTCACACATCAGGCTGCGAGCAGCCGCGTCTAATAGCCTGGTTGATCAGTCCAGCAACCAGGAGGCCTGGTCGACGACTGGGCCACGGGGATGCTAAGCCCCGGAAGCACCTCAAGGTAAGGTAACCCTCCCCAAGTAACTCTCCCCAAGTAACTCCTCAATTGCTCATGTACACTAATAGAATTTCCTCTGGGAATGTTTTCATGCTATCTTAAACCTGATTTGATTTTTTTATGATCACTGTTCCCTAACATTCCCTATTACAAATTATTTACCAGTGCCTTCCTGTTGGCCAGAACCAAGTCTCGTATATTGTTTTCTTGCACTGTTCCAGAATGTATCACAAAATTTTTCCACGTAAAATAATTAGTCACTGCATTCTACTAAAAGTAAGCCACCTATAATACAGACCTAGTTTCTCTAGTTACTTTTGCCCAAAAATTAATTCCTTTCAATCTGAAGAAATTTGGTGGTGTATATAAAAGGTACATTGGGTTTAAGAGGGTACATAGCATTGATGTTTTTACATTCTTATAACGCCACCAACACGCACAGCATTTTGGGCGTTTCATAGTGTTTCGTTATTAATTACTGTATATTTAAATTGTTTCTGTACATGACTCAATTTTCATTACCTATTTTACCCTGGATTTAATATTTTCTCTCACCCTATGCCACTTCTTCCCTCCCCATCCCCCTCCCCTATTTTGTCTCAGTTTTAAACCCTTTGTATGACTTAGTTTGGGTTTCAGCTAATAGATTTTTAGTCTACCACTACTAAGTACAACCAAAGTCCCTTAAAATTTTACTTCATTCTGGTAATTCGGCCTGATAGGATGCACGGGCACCACACAACTCTACCTCACACTGTAAACTCTGGTATTCTATAATAATGAGTAACCATAAAAAAACAAATTGGGTCAACGTAAACAATTTTATTGTAAAATTCAAGAGGCAGCTGCTTAAAACACTGCTAACATTATCACCAAGTGTAAGTAGAGTTGCTGTGTGGTAACATTAGTGAAGTTAGAGCTCCAGGGCCCCGAGTACAGCCCCCCGCCAGTCATGTACTCCAGGACACAACACACAAGGAAACTCGCCACCCTTCTACTCCACTCTTACCTGAGGGATTTGTCACAGCTTGCACCAAGAGAGGGAGAGAGAGAGAGAGAGGGGGTATCCCCGTGCCCAGAGCGGGTAGAGCAGGCGGGTATGGGGCCCAGGGAGGCGATACATGGGCCTCAGGCCACCAGCCAGGCCACACAACAGCTGATGAATGAAACCATCAACACAAGTGTCACTCCTCCTCACAAACCCCTTAACAACCCCACAAACTACACCCCAGGCCCCCATCACACCCCTCCTGCCGGGTGCCCACTCTCCTCCCCCTTTATCAACCCTTCTGCCAACCCATCAACTCACCTGCGGAGGGTAAAAAATAAAGGAATTTGCGTGGAGTGAACGCCGCCTGTGGAGTCAATATGGCGTTTGCCACTGCGCAGTCACGGGAACAATTACGTCATGGCGGTAAACACGGCCCCCAAACTTCTTCTGAAACCTTTATTATCCTCGCTGCTAGCACGGGCCGGGGGCTCACTTTATTCCTGGGAAGTGGCTAGATATTTGTGTGAGATGTATGAGGTGAGGAGGGATGATGAAGCAGGTGTGAGGGAGTGAGCGACGGGGCGGGGTGGTAATGTTGGAACCCTGGAGGTGTCCCGGCCACATCCCTCATGCCCCGGCCTGGGCTTGGTCTTCGACGTCTCCCCCTCACACTCCTCATGCCCTGGACACGAGCGAGGTCTGATCACCCCCCACCCTCCCCTTCATATAAACCATAGCCTTCATGCCCGGACCCTGGGCTAGGTACTCGTCCTCTTCACAAAGACCACGGCCCTCATGCCCCGGCCTGGACTTGGTCCTCGCCCCTTCACATGGGCCACAGTTCTCATGACCTCTTTGCTTGATCTTCGTCCCCCTCACGTGGATCATTGGTCTCTGCATGCCCCGTCCTGAGGTTGATCTTTTTCCCCATATGGGGCATCATATTAATTGATTGGGGCACCAACTGGATCACTCGACATGGTCCTCGAACCCAGAGTTCAGAAGGCCTTCTCTGGGTCCAATGAACCTCACCCTCATGTGAACCAATGGCCCTGAATCCCCTCACGTAGACCACTGGCCCTTGCCCTCTTGAGTACAGACATGCTGAATATTAACCAACTCCAAATATATAGCCACGTTGTAAACCCTACAATTGTATAATAATAATTTATTATTATAACATTAGGTGGAAGAGATCCTCAGGAATAATTTACCTGAGGGCCACTAACGCTAGTGGCCTCGACAAGGACAGGAAGCCGGCGGCTTGTCGAAGATCCTCCATTTGCCTTGACTATCTTTCCCAGCTGTACTTTAAAAGTTAACAGAGTTTTGGCAGTTACGGCTTCGGACGGTAGGCGGTTCCATTAGTTTATAACCCTGTGGATAAAAAGCATCTGTTCTCAGTCCTACATTGTGGCTTGTTGAGCTTGAAACCGTTGCTCCTTGTTTGTGCTACACCTGACCTTTTGAAGAAATTGTCCAGATCAACATCCTCCAAATTGTTCAGTATTTTAAATTTCAATGAGATCCGCCCTGTCATATCTAGCTTGCAGTGTTGTTAGCTCTGTGGCCCTCAACCGTTCCCGATAAGAGAGTTGACTTAGCTCTGGAATGATTTTTGGTATCCGGTGTTACACATTCTCCAGAAAAGATAGGATCTTTGAAGGACTATTGGCAAGCCGTCGCCTTCCTGTCCCATACAAGGTCACTATAGTTATGTTGAGAACCGAGAACTATATGTACGGACAGCACAAAACAGCCATTAGAGTGTGACATTGTAATTGCCAGAATTAGTTTTTTAGGTTAGATTAGCTCATTTATTATGCACCCATACCCATCTTGTGGGCGGTAGTGGAAAGGGTTACAGAGGCACATAATGGGCCTAGGAACTGAACCCCACAATTCATTTAGCTAGTAAGTTACAATCTTGATGAGCTAAAATTCAGTATACGTCGTCACATCAACAATGGGTTCGAGATCGACCAAAAGTATAGTTTCTAAATGAAGCAATTGACATATGTGTAGAGCTTGTGTCACAATTGATATGTTTGTCTTACAATGCACCGCCCCCCATCCAGTGAAAAGCGGTGGATAGGTTACAATCACTTAGTTACTACCTACAGTTAGCAAACTGGGGATATTTGACTAAAATTTCTGGTAGCTGATCATTTTGAATTAAATATTTACACATCGTTGGAACATTGGTTATAGAATTGTCTCTGAGTTCACGTATCTTTTCGCACTCCATCACATAGTGACGGAGGGTGTGCGAATAATTTTGTTGACACAGTTTATATTTGGTCAGGTCTACATCAGCAGGTAATGAGAATTCCCAGAGATACTTGTAACCGAGTCTAAGCCGAACAGTAGTAACATCTAGAAGTCTGCTGATTTTATTGGATGAACCATAGATGTGTGGCTCCTCTTGCATGATAGTATGATGATAGATGGAATTACTGGTGTCAATTTCACTTTACCTCAGATCTACAAGATTTTGTTGAAGTTCTTGGAGTACTATTGCTCTCAGATTGCTCATTGACAACCCAAGGTTACACTTAATTTCTCCTTTAATGGTAGATTCTTTGGCTAACTCATCAGCTCTATCATGCATCCGGAGGCCAACATGAGATGGAGACCACATGAAAGGGACTCTGTTACCATCATTAATAATTTTGTTGTATTTATGTCTAGCTTCGGACTCGAGCATGTTACAGTTGTCTTAAAGAGTTAAGAGCAGTTAAGGATGATAAAGAGTCACTTACAATTAATGTATCAAGTTTGGAGACTTGTACATATTTCAGTACAAGGAGCAAGGCAAATTGTTCGGTCGGAGGGGTAGAGGCCCAGTTGTTTGTACGGACTCCCCACTCAAAATATAAGCCATCGCCTATTGTCAGGACAACTGCACTTCCAGCTGCACCCGTGGGGCGGTGTTGGGAATGATCGGTGTATATGATTTGAGAGAGAGAATGCTCAGAATTAGGCAACCATAACCTTTGTGGGCAGTGGTAACATGCTCGCCCCGCAAGCGAGCCTAGGTTCGTATCCTGGCCTGGCGTTCGGATCCTGGCCCAATCAGGATGTAACTACATCCTACTACAGGATGTAACTACATCCTGACCATATCCTGGCCTATGAGGATTGACTAGGCCCAATCCTTAACTGTACGTCTCTGTTCACCCAGCAGTGAATGGGTACCTGTTTTTAAACGATTTGGCGGGTCGTATTCCAGGGAAAATTAAGACTACCTGCCCTAAACGTTATGCGTGCTAGTGGCTTTACAAGAATGTAAGAACTCTTGTTTGTATAAATAAAATAAGCAACTGTGAGCACGACCTAACTAGGGTCGTGTTCACAATACTATACTGTGTCTTAGCCTAATTAGTCTTGAGTAGCCTTTACTTAGCCTATACCTTAGTCTTGCCCGAAACGCAGTGCGTAAGTGGCTTTAGGCATTTTATGTACTTGCTCTATCTATAAATCCAACATTATGTTTGTATCTCACCTTGTATGTATATACTTTACCTGCAATAAAATTTGATTTGATTTGTGATTGCTGTTTTATTTCAGACCAAATTTTATGAGGTACCTTCAGTTCTGTAACTGCTTCATACACGCATAAATATTGGAGGATATTCTTGCGCTGTACCTAGATTTTGCTAGTGCAGACTAATAGATTAGACTCACATTTCATGTTCTCTCCCGATTTCATAAATGACTAACTATCTTGTGAGGTTGGGATATTATATGAACCTACAGCCAGTCTTCGATCAATACTGTAATCCTTCATATAGGGTAGCAGCACATTGCTGTTATTTGTGTCTGCAGGATCGATCTGTTAGCTCTTGGACCCCGCCTTTCTAACCGTTGGCTGTCTAATGTACTGACCTCCGACCAATTTGCCTCGTATTATATCTACCATATCTCTAATATATACACATCCCCAGGATGTAGCTCGCAGAAGTTGCCCAACTCTCAGGTACCTATTTACTGCAAGGTGAACTCTACCCATTTGTTTCTGCCTCGGCCAGGAATCGAACCCAGGCCCTTAGGATTACGACCCCCTGAAAGCTGTCCACTCTGCCACGTGTTAATAAAAAAAAATACGTTTTAATATATATTTAGAAATTAAACCAGTTCTTAAATCCTAAATGAAATATTAATCACAAGATAAATAGTTCCTTCAGTCGGGTACGCAGAAGTCGAGCGGAGTGTATCGGCAAGCAAGCGACGTAGACCCAACGTTTACTGTATGTGTAAAACTACGACTGACGTAATTTATAAATGCATTAAACATTACAACAGCATCTGCTGTTTGATGAATATATATATGAATGTATAGCACGGGTCCATCCTTGATAACATAGGTCCGTCTCACTGGTGAGTCACAGGGCGCGTGACTGGGGGAGGATGACGCCGGCTCCGTACACACACTTTTTTTTTTAAATATACTCAGTATACACAAGAGTTCTTACATTCATGTACATCCACTAGCACGCATGGCGTCTCGGGCAAGTCCTTAATACTAATTATCCTCGGATTACAACCCTTAACTTAAGTACGGAATACTCACTCAAACACATTGCAAATCATCTAAATATTCAAGGCCTAGATCATATAGCTGAAGATACTGTGGGCACCTTACAGATTGTGGGCACCTTACAGACTGTGGGCACCTTACAGACTGTGGGCACCTTACAGACTGTGGGCACCTTACAGACTGGGGGCACCTCACAGACTGTGGGCACCTTACAGACTGTGGGCACCTTACAGACTGGGGGCACCTTACAGACTGTGGGCACCTTACAGACTGTGGGCACCTTACAGACTGTGGGCACCTTACAGACTGTGGGCACCTTACAGACTGTGGGCACCTTACAGACTGGGGGCACCTTACAGACTGGGGGCACCTTACAGACTGGGGGCACCTTACAGACTGTGGGCACCTCACAGACTGTGGGCACCTTACAGACTGTGGGCACCTTACAGACTGGGGGCACCTTACAGACTGGGGGCACCTTACAGACTGGGGGCACCTTACAGACTGTGGGCACCTCACAGACTGTGGGCACCTTACAGACTGTGGGCACCTTACAGACTGGGGGCACCTTACAGACTGGGGGCACCTTACAGACTGGGGGCACCTTACAGACTGTGGGCACCTAACAGACTGTGGGCACCTTACAGACTGTGGGCACCTTACAGACTGGGGGCACCTTACAGACTGGGGACACCTTACAGACTGGGGGCACCTTACAGACTGGGGGCACCTTACAGACTGTGGGCACCTTACAGACTGTGGGCACCTTACAGACTGGGGGCACCTTACAGATTGTGGGCACCTTACAGACTGGGGGCACCTTACAGACTGTGGGCACCTCACAGACTGTGGGCACCTTACAGACTGTGGGCACCTTACAGACTGGGGGCACCTTACAGACTGGGGGCACCTTACAGACTGTGGGCACCTTACAGATTGTGGGCACCTTACAGACTGGGGGCACCTTACAGACTGTGGGCACCTAACAGATTGTGGGCACCTTACAGACTGGGGGCACCTTACAGATTGTGGGCACCTTACAGACTGGGGGCACCTCACAGACTG